ACGGTAGGATCAGCACCAACTGAGACTGGGATGGGCTGGTAGATAGTTGGGTTGTCTAAGTGTTGGATGGCATTGTAGGTCGTGTTTTTTGAGGAGGGAGAGGTGGTGCACCCATCCTTAGGGTCACCATTTTCGCCGCGGATGGCCGTGTTGGGGTCGTGGATGTCCCCGTTGGAAAAAGGGGCAAAGGCAAATCTTGGAGCATTGATGTGGCACGGGCTGGACATGATTAGAATGGAAGTTGTTTGTTAGTTTAGATTTGGTTCTTGAGCTACTATGCTCGGACAGGAAAAAGAACAGGAAGCGGAGGTTCCCACAGATGGCGCCATTGATCTCACCTGATCAGAAAGGAACCAGTGACCTGCCATGTGTCGTGATCTGATGCATTCTCCAGAGTTGTGTAGGAGAAGGGGGTATACCTGCCAAATGCTCTGATGCCTAAGCAAGTACTGGAACTAGAGAGAGCAAGTACAAAGAGAAGGTGTGGAGAATTAAATACCTGACCCTCTAGTGAAAGAGGTTATTTATAATGTGTCTCTAGCCTAACACAAGTAACTGCCAGAGCTTATATGGCATAGTGAAGACCAGCACGTGGTCTTCGCTCTGGATCAACTTCCCCGCGATCTTCGGAAGATGGGCTGACCATCACTTTCATAAGTGGGTAGTTGCCTGATAACGCGTCCCCGCGTCGAGGACACGTGGAAAACATGGGGGAAGCATGTGGGTTTCCCCGTCAGAAAGGTCTTCTGCCCGACGGATGTGCTTTGTTGAGGCTCCTCCCTGACAGAAGAAATTTGGCCTTGTTGGGCCTCATCATCATAGTCTTGGGTTGAGCATGCCCCTCAGTCGGGAAGGAGGGACATACCTTGTTTTTAGTGGAAATTTATAGCCAAATGAAAAGCCAGATTTTTTAAACAAGTAGCAAGGAATCCCTTTTTTTACTTTGAAGGAAAAATAGAAATTTTGTTGTCATAGAAGAAGACAAAAAGGCCTCGGAGTCTGACAATGATCTATCATAGTCACTTTGGTCTTTGTGCTTTGACTGGCTCAGATTCTGATCTTTAGAAGCAGACTTCTTCAAAGTCTGGTCTTCAGAGACTGACTTCTTCAAACTCTGGTCTTCAACTTCTGATCCTTCATATTATGACCCAAAGTTTCTCTTTAGATGTTCAATTAATATCAGAACCAATACTTAGATTATTCTTGAAATTTTAGCCTATGGTCCTGCATATTTTAATAACCATTAGCATACCCAATTTTTCTTTAAATACTTTTTTATCATCAAACCCAAAGGATATGGTACAAACCAATTTTGCTCCAACAATCTCCCCCTTTTTTATGATGACAAACACAAGTGTGTAAGAACAATGGTTGTTAGTTTAGTTAACAAGCTAACTTCGGGTTTTGAGGTTTGTAAGCTCCCCCTGAGTCTAATAGTCCAAATGGTATGGTTTGTAAGATCCCCTTAAGTTCTATCCAGGTTAATTAAATTTAAACTTGAAAGAATAATTAATAAATATTCAAAATTTAAGCATAGATAATAATTGTCAGATTCAGGTTCTTAAATACTTCTATATCTACTCCCCCTTTTGTCACCAACAAAGATAAAGGAAATAAAAAAGATATTGAAGAAAACATGTTATAAACACAAAAGAGAAGTGTCAAAAGCACAATAATCTTATAAGTAAATCCACTGATATAAATTTTTAGGATTTTACCAAATCTAGATTAAAATTAATCAAAATCAAGTTTGTGTTCTCCTCTTTGTCATCAAAAAGAAAATTTTAGAAGTTATGGAAGAATTATGGCTATAATGGTTGGGAACAATCTATTTAATTCGCGAGATGGTCAAGTCTTGTTCTGACAACTAAGCATTTGAGAGAAACAAAGCATTCAAAGCTGGGGATATGTACTTGAAGACCAAGAGTATGTATATCTCATATGTCCCTTGGTGCACAATAAACAACATTGATTTTGTTTTATCTCAAACTCTCTATATAGGTTGTGTTTCATTACTAGCAAGGTCACATTTCTCATTCTTCCAATCTAGCTCTTCTCATAGTTGAAAATATGAGAAAATTGCCCAGGAACTCTCAGGAGAGCTCTTCCTAAGAGGTTATCAAAGCTATTTTGAAATCTATTGAAGTTGGGGAAGAAGCACAAAGATGATAGGCTCAAGAATTCTGAAGGTGCAAAGTCATAATTTGGTTCTTCTCCTAGAGCATCTGTGGTAAGAAGGAATTCAGTCTCAAATATGAAGAACTTTAAGAAGAAAAAGGATCCAGCTGATACATTAGATCAAACGCTGATGAGGATTGGATGACCATTCGTATAATGGATGGTTGGTCTTCATACATAGTCTGAAGGTTGTAATAATTTCTTAATCAATAATAACATATCCTTTTCCCATTACATTTGTTTATGGTTATCTTTCCATTAACAACCTTTAGAGTGAGCCACCAGTAGAGATGTTTAAAAGGAGTTTTCAACCATTTCAGCCATGTTTTGTGTTGTGTGTGTTGATAGTGATATATTGAGTTTTAAAAAAGAATTTTAATCATACAACCATTTATAAAAAATGACTTAGGGGCAATAGAACGTGATTTTATTTTAATCACACAACCATTTTTTACAGTAGTAATAATGTGTATGAAAGATGCCACATTTCTCTACCTTAACAATAAACACTTGATTATACCCATCAATATAACTTAGAGCCTAGAAGACAAAAAATTCCCTGGGGAATTTTGAGTTAGGATCTCCTGAACCAAATAAATTTCTCACTCAGAGGTCTAACTGCTTCATAGTCAAATAACCTAGAATCACATATTAAGTATAAGGTAAATAATTAGAGATATCTCTAAGAGAGTCACTACTCGGCAGTCCCTTAATAAGGTATGCAACAGTGCGGCTTTTCTTTCGCAAATTGAGCCAATAGGAATCAACGAAGCTATCATAGATAAACATTGGTCTCTTTCCATGCAAGAAGAGTTAAATCAATTTGAACGAAAAAACATTTGGGAACTAGTTCCCAAAGCTTCAACTAACCTAGTGATTGGTACACGATGGGTCTTTCACAACAAACTGGACAAAGATGGCAATGTTTTAAGATATAAAGTCAGACTCGTTACGAAGGGATACAATCAATGGGGAGGAATAAATCTCGTTGAAACCTATGCTTTGTGGCTAGATTAGATTTCATTCAAATTTACATCCAACAACCTCAATTGTGAAGCTTGAGCTGTCAATCCTCAAATTCGAAATTTTAACATTTCCCGAGTTCTCATTTGTGGCAGCAATTCTTGTGATATTATATCCTCTGACCATTGTAAGAGAATGTGGTTGAAGAAAGAGAAACTATGGCCTACAAAGGATCTGACCTACAAGCTTTCGGCAGCATAGTAACTCGTCCCTATGGGTACATTAGACTAATAGTTACTCTAAAAGAAGGATGATCGACTCACAATTTCGGGTGGTTCCTTGCAAAAACATCTGCAAATGCATATAGGTAAACACTTTGTGGTTACGTTAGACGCGGTGGCGTTTCCGATCCACTTCAAGCTAAGATACCACAATGTTCATGATAAGTCGTGTGTCAACTCCTCGGTGACCTAGCTCAGTTCATTAAGGGATATTAGAAGAGGAGCAGACTAGGGAGAACCATGTCGTTTATGTGTTGTCAATTTGTCAGTGTATTATGGTCATTGGGATAGCAAGCATAGAAAGCGGAGAGTTTCAAAAAGACACTCATGTAATGACCACTATAAAAATCATAATAGTTAAGGCACGACATGCCTTGTAATACAAGAGACAAAACAGAAATTGACGAGTCACATACCAAATAATTAATTATTTTTTTTGTTGTATTTTGATTATAACCTATTGAAACAATTTAAATTTATCATATTTAAATAATTAATTTTTATAAAGAATTTGTCAATTTTACTTGGCAAAACAAATTGAACCTTAACTACGATAAATCATAGATTTAAGTGAGATTCCAGCCTATTTACTCATAGATAACCATATTATCTAAGAATTTTCTTATAAAAGATAAATATAAAAAGGAGACTGAAAAAAGTAAAATTTAAAATTAGAAAAGACATTTGTCCAAAAAAATTTGATAAATAAGCTGAATGGCTCACTCCAATAAAATGAGGGGCAGAGAAAAATATTCAAAGACAATTCGAATTTCAGAGGTATCTATCACAAGTCACCACCGTCTTACTTACGTAAGTCTTCACGATCCACCTTGCGATGGTAGGCATAGTTTATTTAGGAATTAATTATTACCTAACCATTGTGTTCTTGATCAATCCTCAATATATTAATCATATTTCATAAATTCAATTATTGTCGATTCTAGTTAGGCATATTTTTTTATGCATAAATTTGGGCAAACTTATCCTTATCATTTGGGAAGATCTCCTTTCGTACGGAGAGACAGCTGAGGATCTTGCCTTTGTATTATTATGTTGTTGCTCATCACATGCAACCCCATTCTTAATCATTAATAACAATACCTATTTAACATCCCTAATATAACAATGCTATGTATATTTGAAATTTCAACAAGGCAAAAGAAAATTTATAGAGTTGACTTAGTTCTAAAAAAAATAATTGGCCAATAATTTTTATAATGTTACATGTTAGAAAATTCAGAATCGTGAACGAAGTATTTTTTTATAGAGTGAAATATTATTTTTATCAACTCTATTTAAAAGAATAATAAAATGATATTTGATATTAAAATATTTATGTCAAATCCAGCATCCTGTAATTTTATATACAAAAATGTAGAAATAACATACAAAATAAAAATAAAAGAGATATTAAATATATCCCAAACGGTATTAGTATTTTAATGTTTAGAAAACAAAAATGTATTATTATAATATAAAGACAACAAACTAGGATCACAATAACAGCAATATCCTACCTCTCCAAACCAAGAAAATACAAAACACACATGTCTTTCAACATTTTTGCAGCCATGCATTCTAGATAATGCTCTTCACCTGAATTGATTGGAGAGCCATAGGAGTTGTTCTTGTTGGTGCAACATCTGACACCACTAGAACAACATCTCCTTTGTTGATCAATCCTTTCGATTTCATAAGATCCACGGATTTTGAGATGTTGGTTTCGGCTTCGTCTGATAAATCTACAACAAGTGGTACAACTCCCCATTGCAAATTCAGCGCCATTCGTGTATTTTCATCGTCGGTGAAAGCAAAGATGGGAGGATCTGGACGGTTGCGCGAGAGTAATGATGCCATGTGTCCGTGCTTCGTGTAAACAAAGATGGCATCCACGCCGAGATTGTTGGCTGCAGATGGGTAAGTTAAGTTTCAATCATTAGTTTTGCAGATTTCATAACATGGTTACGAGTTGGTTTTGTCTGATCGCAGTGATTCAGAATCACTTTTAAGTCTTTGGAATCACATTTGATTCTTTCAAAAATGAATAAAACATGCGTAAATATAATTGCAGGTTACAAAAAATAATGCGAAGATGTACCCATTTCAACCGCGCAATTGCATATTTGCTCAGTGATGCGATCCGGCAATGATGCTCCGAGTTTTTGGTGATTGAGAAGACTTTGTCTGTTTTCCTCTCTACTCCATGATTCCATTCTACTGCTAGTCATATCCAACACTGCCAAAGCTTTCTGTCCGAATGAACCGATAGCCGACTCGCCGGATAACATCAAAGCATCCGCATACTGTCGGACCGCTTCAGAAACATCCGCTACCTTATATTGCGTAAAAGCGAAGATTATTGTAACAGGTGAGTACCGAGTTCAGCATTTGAAATGAAAAGTTATTTTCATAATATATAAGTTGATTTTACCTCGGCGCGAGTTGGTGTTGGATACTCAACCATTGACTCGAGAAGCTGAGAAGCTACAATCACTGGCTTATTTTGTTGTCTGCAAATGCGAATTATATCCTCCTGGACTGTAGGAATTTGTTCCAGTGGTATTTCGACTCCGAGGTCACCACGAGCTACCATGATTCCATCAGAAGTTTTCACTATTTCCAGGAGATTATGAAGAGATTCTAAGCTTTCTATCTTTGCCAATACTTTTATGGGCCTGAAACAATCATTTACCATTAATGACTTGTGCTAAGATAACTTTTAATTAAAGCACTTATAAATAAGAAAACACATCAGCATCTTTTCAAAGGAACAACATGCTATATCATGGTTTTAAATTAGAGTAACACAATCGTAACTGCGGCCGCAATATTGCTGATGCAGTAGTCTTCACAACTGCATCAGACTGCAGTTGCGGTGTGATTTGAAATCACGCGTCCTTCCACGTTAGGAACCACATCAGACAACTTTGCCCAGATTTCAAGTGTTTTCCTCAAAACTCAATTTAGATCCCAAAACTCAATTTATTTATGAAAAATCTCAACATTAAGTGTTTTTCAACTGTATATTTTAACTTTTCTCAATCAAAATTCATGTCGCAATGCGTTGAACCGCAGCAACCGCAATGACTGCAATCGTAACCACAATTTAAAACCTTGGGCTATATATTATATTGATAAACTATATAAACGATTTTTTGGCGGATCTATGATTTCTTACTTGGTTGATTTGTCGGAGAGGTAGTTCTTTAGATCCTTAACAGAATCAGCATGATTGACAAAGGATAAGGCAAAAAAATCGACTCCCTCAGCTATACCAAAGTTAATGTCAGCCCAATCCTGTCGATAAGTTTATAAGATAAAACATATCAGGGAAAGATTTGAAACTCATAGCCACTATTCAAAGAATTATACCAAAATACGCAAGTGCGGCGGGAAAAAAGACGCTTCGCTGCAAAAGATTATACCTTTGTTGATAGAGTAGGGAGCTTGTAATTCCTTCTTACAAGCTTTCCATCTCTCCAGGAACTAAATTTGGCTCCAGGTAAGAAAAGACCGGCGTCTATGCACTTACAATGCAAATCATTTCCAGTTTTTTCAATGACTACAAAGCTTGACATTCCGCCGTCAATAACAAGTTCATCGCCTACTTCAATACCTGACAACCATTAACAAATTCAGAACTCACTCGAATGAATAATAACATGTATGCTCATTGGAAAATACAAGGAACCGGTCGATTCTTCAATCGTTCAGCAAAATATTAATACCTTCGGAAAAACCTGGATAGCTTGCTTGAACCGTTAATGGACGAGTACCTTCAAACCGTTCAGCGGTAAACAACCAAACTGAATCTTCCTGAGATTGAAACAAGAAACACAGTTCCAAATTCAAATACAAACAATCTCTATGAAGCACGGACACAAACATGAACATCAGACACCACACAAGTGACACGTCCACATCAGTAATAATTTTAAAAAAATCAAAGAGAATATAACCACAAGTGTTGTGTTGTGTCGGACACAACACCGACACGACACCGTAATTAGTAAAAATACAGATTATGAGTATAAGTTGGGTTACCTCAACTTTAACTGAGGAAGGTGCTCCATGATCAACAACATGAATCTGACTACCCTCCGTATCAATCATCACAGAAACCGCAAAACCCTTTTCCTCATTCAGCTTCTTAATCTTCCTAATCACATCCCGGTGCCATTCTCTAGTCCCATGACACATGTTAAGCCTAGCAACATTCATTCCACCCAATGCCATCTTCTCTAAATCCTCCAATGAACTACAAGCAGGACCAACCGTACACACAAGCTTTGTCTTCCTCAACCCTCTAAAACCCTTCACCATTAACTCTCCTTCTGAAACCATATCCAACCCCAAACCTCCCTCCAATGCAACACTCCTTTTCAAACCCTCTACATCAACTTCAGCTATTGCTCTAACCTTAACCCTATGTTTTCTCTTCCATTTCTCATCACCCTTGAAACAAAATCCAAGATTTGAAACACGGTTGATGAAATCAACTGAATGGTTACTAGGTTGTCTCACAATGGTTAGATTTCCAGGTGAAGTAGCCATTGACTTCAAAACCATGGCCATGAGATTTTTTATGGAACAATGAAGCTCTGCTTAATGTTGAGATCCAAGTTTTGAACTTTATCGTAATATAGATGTTGGGTTTGAAGGGTTTTGTTGTAAACTCCGTCAATGTTTGGACTTTGGTCGTGAACAAAATCAGAAACGTTTGTACAAAAAAAAGTTGTCTCTTTTGTGTCAAAAAAAATGTAAATTTTTGTCGTTTTTCTTTGTCTCAAGTAACAGAACGTGGCACTCTTTTGTGCGTTAAATCAATCTAATGGTTAAAATGGCTTGGATGTAATGCAAGTGCACTGAGTGGCATTTGAATGAAAGCAGTGAATCTGAAAATTACATTGCACTAAGAGCAACTGAAAATTACATTGCACTAAGAGCAACTTTAATGCAGGATTGTTAAACCAAAATTCTTTATAGCTTACGTTAGTAATAAGGAATTTGCATTATAGGAGAGCTGACATGGCATCCAAATAAACTAAAATTTAGTTCTCATTATCTATATAGTTAACGTTAACTATGTGAAATCTATTATAATATTATTTAATATTAATAAAATATTCTAAATATTCCAACAACATTAAAGTAAGGATATGATATTTGAAAATAGTAACGGTCATATTATCATTTTTTACCTTCTATAAATTCTATAGAAATTTTAATTTTTTTTACACACAGTTTTACTTCTAAATTTTTTTCTTTCAATTTCCAATCTTATTTATTTATCAAATAGATCTCAACCAATCGAATCCTTATTATAATTATATTCCTATGAAAATGTAATTTTTTTTATGTATTATTGTTGTGAATTTTGTATCATTTTAAATTTTATAATAAAATATATTTAATATTATTTTTAAGTTTTTAAGGTAAATTTTATTTAAAAAATTATATGTATTTTAATTAAAATAATTAAATTAATGGTAACTTGAATAAAAAATATAAAATGTGGGGTCAAGTTTTGGTTTCTTATAGACAACCACCATTAAAGTAAAAACTACTCAAATCAACTATAAATTTTTTAAATCCTACAAATCACTTTGGGCCCACAAAAAGTATCTTAGTTTATCCATTTAGTTTACTCTCACTAAAGATGCTCTAATGGAGGAACCTGAATAGCAAAGACCCGCTTTTTTGGATGCCCTACTTCTCTGTCTCCACCGCTAGCAAAGAAGAAGATAGAGAGAGGGTTTGCAAGTGTAAAGGAAGATTATTTAAATTTGGAGATTTTTATTATCTCCTCCAAATTATATAATTGTTTTTCTTTTTAAAAAGAGATTAATTGAAATATATTATCATGTAAAATCATTTTTCACCATCATTCAATTAAAATAATTTTTTTAAATATATAACTATGAAAAATAAAAGAAAAAAAATAGGAGAATCGTCTATTAAAATAATTTAATTAATAATATATTAGTTTTATTTTTAATTCAGATATTTATGTATTAAAATAATTAATTTTAATTGAATAATAATTTTAAAGTATATTTCAATTGATATTTTTTTTTAAATTGAAGATTATAGAGTTAAAAACTAAATCATAAATTTCAATATTTTTTATGTTGATTAAATCAATAATATTTAAGTTAATTTTTTTTAAAGAATATTACAATTACTAGTTCTTAACTTTCTCAGATCACTGAACCAAAAGTTTATGAAATAGAACGCTGCGATTTATCACATTCAATTTGATCAAACGTCGCTTCAACTATGATTTTCTGAATTGTATACTTTTGACTCTTGCTCTTTCAAGTGATGGTTGGACCTAAAGCCACTCGATATGCTGTTGTGTGAGAAGTCATTGTCGTTGTCTCCGCTGCAACTCAAGTAGTCGTTAATCAATCACCTTTACCTCCCAAGCAAAACACTGCGAATCCTGGCAAAAAAGTTCTGTAACATCCAGATCAGATCCAAATTTCTCACATAGATGGATCTATTCAAGCTCCTTCGATCACTCCTCTGATTCCACCTTCGGTTTCACAACCTAAATCCTTACCTGGCTTCCAATTAGTGTGAGCTAGCCTTGGACTGCAAGATGCTAACGAGCTTTTGAAAAGCATGTATAACATCATTTAGTAGAAAATTCACACGCAATATAGGAATGGTTACTTTGCTTGGAAGAAAGACTATACAACGCGCCTCAGCGAGGTTGTATCTTGAATAGCTCACATTGTCAATCTAGAGTCAGTCGCGACGAAAAAAGATGAAGCTCATCAGTCTAAGAATCATCAGAGGAGCAAAAAGCATCATAGTCCTCCCTAAAGTCCCGAGAGAGACTGGGGGAGTTGTTTTCCTCCCTCTGATCAAGTAGGAAACTGGTCGTTCAAGGTTTATCATGAGCATTCATTATGCACCGGGATTTTGGAAAGCAAATACCAAAATCCATGAAAAAGCAAACCAAACTAAGGGAGTACAATGGAAAGAGAGATTTATACGAGCACGTACAACTCGTCAATGACCGACTAAACTTTTTTAGCGTTGACAAAGCCTCCAAATGCAAGTTATTTGCATTAATCCTGATCGGCCCAGCCAGACTGTGGTTTAATGGTCTGCCAAACGAGAGCATTGAATCATGGGCTGATTTTTGCAAGTGTTTCTCCACACTCTTGATTGCCTAGAAGCGACACTAAGTGACTGAAGCCGCTTTGAGTGAAATTGTCCAAGGGAAGAAATAAAGCTTGCAGTCTTACATCGAACATTTTACACAAGTTATCATTAAAGTCGAGGGAGTTGACGAGTGTCTTAAGTGTTGAATCTTTGACAATGACCTTCTAAGGGACCATCCCTTCAAGCTAAAGATAAGAAGGAAGAATGTGCAAACCGCTAAAGATATGTCAAGCATTATCTTGGAAGATAAGTTAAAAACATATTTTGGCAATCCTGCATCCACCAAGACCAACTAGAGCCGCCCGGTAACGAAGGACTCTCACTGCTAGAAGGTTGAATCATATCGGAGTTTGTAAGGCCGGTATGACAAGTGCACTCCTCTAACTATTTCTCAAGAGAAGATCTATTAGAACTGCACCAACATAGAGTTTCGGAAGAGTGGAATCCAACCACCTTATCACATCAGAGAGACGTCTCAGACATACAAGTCAAAGTATTGTTGTTTTCATAAAGGTTATAGTCATAACAACGACAACTACATTCAACTAAAAGATGACATCGAAGGGCTGATCAAAAGGGGTCGACTAGCCGAGTACGTGAAAATGCGCAAGAGAGACAGGGAAAAGTTGCTTAAAGTAAAATCTCCCTCGAAGACTGTAGATGATGGGACCAACAGCAAGAGCAAAGAGACCAGCAAAGGGAATCGCTCGTACATCATCGTCATCACTAGAGAGGCACCTCAAGCAAATCTCCCCTCCAGTGGAAATATGGAGAGGAAGATCGTTAAGATGATGGTCATCCATAAAAAATAGGGAGGTACCTCGGCGAAGACCCCTAACCGGCCAATGTTGGGGTTCAAAGACTCTTAAAAGGTAGAAGGAATCCTTAATTAAAATTTCCCCTGGCAATCATGGCTAGTAAAAGGAAATTTTACATTTCTTTAATCTAGATTGATAGTTGCAGCTCCTACGATATAATGTATTCTGAGTTGTTTGAAAATATGGATCTCGAAAGATGGAGCTTATGGTGGTATGAAGACCCAGACTTGCATGTATTTAATGGGACGATCATCCGTCCATGGGGATTTATTGAACTAGCAATATAAATAGGCGATTGGAAGGACATCTGAACACTCAACTCGTATATTCGCTTTATCCCTTGCAGAAGCATCTACAATTTCATTATAGGAAGACCCTTCACATCTATGTTGGACGTTGTAGCATCGCCAGACCACCTCAAGCTCAAGTATCACAATCTCCATGAAAAGTCGAACACCATTAACACTGACCTAGAAGGAGAAAAAATAATCTACCAAGCGCTCCAAAAAAGACTTAGGAGAAGGCAGAGCCATGGAAATTAATGTATATTCTCTCACCAATCAACTTAGAAGAATGGGGATTTGTTCCACAAGAAATGGCTAGACCAACAGAGGCGAACAAGATGAATAATCGGCGGCAAACCCTACTGGATATGTTTCTTTCTCCCTTTGTATTCAAATGTTGTGATTGTATAATCACCTACCTTATGTACAAAAATATCTAACAATTATTAATGAAATATATCAATTTCTACCATGTTTGTTTCTTTATGTTTGCGTGTAGCGACTACGAATCTGGGGTACGACCGACGAGACCGAGGCCCGACACAAAAGTTATGGGTGTTGTTGGAGACGCTTTGCACGCCCAACTATAGCAATCACTTCTCCACCAAATGTTAGGGGTGTTGTCATAGACGCTTTGCACATCCGACTATAGTAATCACATCCCTACATACAATAGTTGTCCACCTCCCTCTAGCAGCTAGCCACACCGTAGGCCGCAGTGGGTTAGTCACACGTCTACCCCGGACCAGGTTTTCATCTAGGGGAAAGGGAACTGACCCTTGGCCAGGAACAGCCCCAGTAACGTCCAACAAACTTCTAGGAAAGACCTTGTAAGTTCGCACAAGATCTAGAGTTGTGCACTTGGGATCACACAAACACACATCTAACAAGTAACAATGAACAACATCCCAAAATTATACGCGCGCGCGCACGCACACACACACACACACACACACACACACACACACACACACACACACACACACACACACACACACACACACACACACACACACACACACACACACACACACACACACACACACACACACACACACACACACACACACACACACACACACACACACACACACACACACACACACACACACACACACACACACACACACACACACACACACACACACACACACACACACACACACACACACACACACACACACACACACACACACACACACACACACACACACACACACACACACACACACACACACACACACACACACACACACACACACACACACACACACACACACACACACACACACACACA